AACTCCTTCACTTTCACATGCAGTCATTTCCTTTCTTAATGTTTTCTCATAATCTTTCTTTTTTTTGGTATTTATGCTCTAGGTTTTCATATCTTGCTGGATTTGCATCTGTAATTCATTCTGTAATATCAAATCACTTTTCAATGACTATGAATCTGAGTTATTTTCTACTATATTATCTACGTTTTCTTTAAAGCTATCATTTTGAACAAATCTTTCTAAAATGTTTTTCATTTCTAGTCTTACAACTTTTTTTTCGGCATAGTAAATGTATCATCAGTTCGTCTTGTATCATCATCATATTTTTTTTATTTTGTAAGTCTATTAATATTAATGTTTTCATTTTGAATTGGTTTCAAAAGTGAAATGTTTGTTTTAGAACTTTTAGACTAGTACCTGCAATGCAACAAAAATAGGTACATACTTACAATTTAAAAAGTTATTTCGGCCACTATGTAAGAAGAAAGTCGTATTATAAAGAAAAATTTGAAGTATGGATCGTTACTCAATTCATTTCTAAGTCTAAATATCTACTTCAATCATTCTCGTACTCGTAAATGCAACATAAACATAATTCCTCTATCAATTGAACAATAAGAATGTCTATATGTGAAGCGGGTGAGTCAGCGTCGAACGACTCGTACACACCACGCATTTAAGTACCTACTCTTGCAACAACGCGAGTATTTTTTCAAGAAATCGGCTTCATGTATTTTTTTTTAATCTAATGATGCCGGATTACCGGATCCGGTTTTCCGGATTGCAATCCCTTCTTCCTATCTTTCAGACTATTGGGTTGAAACAAAAGTTATGCAATTGCGTCGGCCGGTAGTCGAACCTGGGTCAATTGTTGGGGAAACAGCTTTCCTGACCGTTGAACAACCGACGCGCGAAAGAACTTCAGAATTGATAGTATAAATCTCATATTTCGCTTCTTTTCTTTAATATTTAATTGAGAGAAGGAGCATTTAAAATTTTCGCTTCCTATCTTGCAGACCATTGGATTGAAATAAAAGTTATGCAATTGCGTCGACCGGGAGTCGAACGCGGGTCAATTGTATTGGAAACAGCTATTCTGACACTTGAACGACGGCTCCACGGAAGGATTTCAGAATTGATTGTAAAAATCTCAAGTTTCTCTTCTTTTGTTTTATACTTTAACGCGAGTAGGAGCGATTAAAAATTTCGCTTCCTATCTTGCGGACCATTGGGTTGAAAAAAAAGTTATGCAATTGCGTCGGCCGGGAGTCGAACCCGGGTCAACTGTTTGGGAAACATCTATTCGGGCCGTTGAACTACCGCCGCACGAAAGGATTTTAGAATTGATTGTAAAAATCTAATATTTCTCTTCTTTTTTTAAATATTTAATCGCGAGAAGCAGCAATTACAAATTTCGCTTCCTATAATGCTGATCATTGGGTTGAAATAAAAGTTATGCGATTGCGTCTGCCGGGAATCGAACCCGGGTCGCATATTTACAAACCCTA